GACCAGCCACTCTGCCCGTATCCTGCTACTAGAACATGATGATGCTTTCACACATATATGAGCATGACTTGTTATTTTTTGCAGGAAGAGCATTGGTGCCTACTGGACGAGGTAAGATTAACATAAACTATACATTATCTACTTCGCTTCTACTACGTCCCTCCTTGTTGGATACGAACTCTGAAGAAATGGTCATACTATTCTCAGACAGTTCCTTTATTTCTGTGAAGAAAATTGAGAGGAAAGAATATGATATGAACTGTGAAGAGGGACCAAGTGGGCTGGGGAAGAAGGTGAATATTGATTGTGGGGCATGAGTAAATAGAATCAAGGACACTGCAAAGTTATGAGTTGAGTTGGTAGGGTGAGCTCTGAATGCATTGTGGGGACATGGCTGATGAAATAAGCTGACAGAGAATACATGTGGAGTGGAGATACCATCTTAGACTAGCCACAGTGGGAGTAACTCCGGTAGTAACATCGAGTCCAACTCAGCAAATTTGCTTATGTGGCAATGAGTTAATGAGGAGAGAGGTAGTTTGAATAACTTAGCTAGTTACTGTAATATCACATGTCCCAATGCAATATGAGTCTATAACCTAATAAATGAAGCTTTGCATGTTGCCACATTTATGTTACTATCCACTATTGAGGTAGTAATATAGTCTAGGGATATGTGTATGTTACTCTCCACTGTGGCTAGTCTTAGAGACAACACATACAGAATTATATACTCCTACACGAAGAACAAATGAACAATAATTGAGAGATTAATGATCCCAAGGCGTTTGAATGGTTCAGATCGATATAGGTGGTGGAGCACCCAAGATATCATCTGCAATTTTCGTGAATATTCTACTTCATTGCTATTGAATTTAGTTTTAGTTGCCGGGTTATAATTAAGTTGTGGACCCATGAGGTGCGTTTTATGGTCCGTTTTTTTTCTATATTATTTTGGTTCCCGTTTCCCAATTTATTCCATTGTTCTGACAATTCTGCCTCATCTATTTTCCTAGTTTTTCCATCTCATATTCTATGTAACCTATAACCTATTGTACAAAATGCCATGTTAATCTTTGTTTTTTTTTCACATTTTGTTCCATTATTCTAGTGCTTTTCGTTCTTTTATATTTGTCCCAGTTCCTTTTCTTTTTTATCCTCTTTTACTTTTTGATGTTCTACTTTCTATCGTCAGATTTATGCTATGTTTGTTCTTCATTCTCCATCTCATTTTTTGCTCCCTGTATTTTCTAGTGAGTAGTTTTAGTGATTCACATCATATTCTACTCATACTATCGTACAAAATGTTCAATTAGTTTTTTTTGTTCACTTCATTTTCCCATTTTATTTCACTATTTTGACGCTTTTCCTTTGTTCATATTTCGTTCAGTTTCTTTCTTTTCCTCCTCGTGTTGAATTTGAAGTTTTTATTCCCCATTTATATTTTTAGCTTTAGATTTATGTCTATTTTTATTCTTAGCACTTTGTCTAATTTTTTGTTCCATTTGTATTTCAGTGAGTGCCTTTAATGTTTGCTCCTCATATTCTATTTATATTATTTTACAAAATATTCAGTTATCATTTGTCTTGTTTACGGCTTTATTAGTTATTTGAAAAGCGACTTTTTTGTTTTGATTAAAGAAAACTCGCATGGAGGAAAAGTTTAAAACTAAACGTGGTGAAGTTTATCATATTTGTCCATTAAATATATAAAACTTCCAAAAACACATGTACACCTCTTTTTTTTTTACAAAAAGCCCAAAGGTCATATATGAAGCAACACACTCGCACCCCTAAAAAACCACATACAGATATATCTAAAAATCATGGTTTCAAATAGCCGGCCGCTATAGCTCTGCTATAGCTGTTTGAGCATGTTGCCGCTAAATGATTTTATGTACAATTTGCCGCTATAGCCAGTTATA